TTACCATTTCTTTTTTGGAAAGCTGACTATACTGCCAAGGTTTTCTAGCATTTTGCACAATGTACCAGCTAGATATAGTTTTTTATACGGAAAGTTGGAAACGATCTTACTTCGTGTGCAAGAAATTTCAAAATTGAGATATTGTTTTTTTGGATGTTATATAACATGTACATTATGATAAACCATGTCTCTTACTTCCGTCGGTCTCTCTGTCTGTCTGTTGGTCTGTAACATAATTTTATAACCGTCTATAACTTGAGAACAACCGCTCGGATTTTGATGAAATTTCTACACTAGGTTACTGCGATGCCAAGGATGAAAAAGCTTTGTTGTTTTTGAGAATCGGTGAGGGGCGGAATTAGGGGCAAAACGCGAAACGAAACAGAATTTTTTTTTGTAGCGGTTGAAACTGGGCTGGAGGTTGTAGGGGTAGGTGGTAGTGAAGGTAACGTCTTTAGTATTAGTGAGAGTGTTCTATCATTAAGGAGCTTCTGATCCCGGTAACAAAGGGAAACGTCACTGACACACTGCTACATTTGGATATTAAGAGTACCTACCATTTTAGCGTCCCGCGATGCTTTTGTAAATGATGACTTAACTGTTTTTATATCAACAAATATATGTTTCTGAATTTTATGATCCTTAAATGCCACCACTAGACCGGTTTTCAAAAACTACAAAGCTTTTTCATCCTTGGAATAGTAGTAACCTTGTGTAAAACTTTTATTATCAACATTCAAGCAGTACTTCTCAAGTTATAGGCGGATATAAAATTAGCGGATATACCGACGGAAATAAGTGACATAGTTTTTCGTGATGTAAATGTCATATAATATTCAAAAAACATAATAACTCTGTTTTGCCTATGCCAGTTTTGGCATAAGAAGTAAAATCTGTGCTGTGTGTGCGAATGCAGTACAAAAATATACTACATATTTTCATAGACGACGCAAAGAAGGTTGATTCGCCGCTGATATTGCGACGGTCCTGATTTTTTCCTCCTAACGATTTTGTTTTTCAATCTACCGAATTTCAAAGACACTATCGATTACGTCTTTTCGGTTCGGCAACACTGCTTGTATATGACCGAACAAATTCTAATTGGTGACAGGATTGCGTGGGAAGTACAGAGTCATCCTACCAGATGCCATTTTTTTCCGCGAAAAATATCAGAAAGAAATAGAAACTCCAAGCCAGTAACAAAAATTTTATTTGTGAACACGCATTGCTACAAGCCAACCTTAGACTATAATACTAAGCCTACTGTTTAAGCATATTTTTGTTGTTCGTGTTATTCCGAAAATTTCTCTAGCTGTTAGCAGAGTCAAAACGCTACCGTAACCTTAAAAAATTCTCTCTCAAAGCCACACCATTAGTGAAGAAAATTTCAAGTACCTGTGAATACGACCCCAAGGCATTCAGTTGTCTGAGGATAATCATGATTCGGAAGAATTATTATTTTTTTATACCTCCGGTACCTGCGTTGGTATTTCACCGCGGGCCATCGAGATTCATTGCTTGTGGCCACTCTATGATTCGTTGGAACTTTATTATAAGAATGACATTTATATTATGACCTCTTATAACATGCGTTATCAAACGTATCCCATTTTTTTAATTCTAGATAATTCTAACAATTAATATGCCGACTGTGCTACAATTCAGAGATATTACACTCATGTTTCAATAATCTTGTACAGCCCTCATAGCCAAGTACTGAAAATAAAAAGGAAGACATAATTTTTCTACAAAGATCTGTGAGTACCTAATATCGACATGTATAGTTTAAATAACAGAAAGTAAAACATTCTTAAGAACATGCCTTCATATATTCATTGATAAAATGAACTAAACATTAAGAAACATATTTTCCGATTAGAAATATGCCATTTTATACTCAACTTTTGAACAATGTTTTCAAATAAAAGCGTGTTACGCCGTTTTTCCTATTACTGTTAAAAGTTAAGATGTATAAAACGGCATATCTCCAATCGCTAAATTAAATGTTTAATTCCTTCTATTAATGTATTATTTTATTCTTTTATTTTTGACCTTTTAGTACTTACGATGTTAAATAACCAGTATTTTCCAATTTATGTATATTCTGTTAATAGTCAAGCCAATCTCTGCCGGTGTGCTGAAGAAAAGAGTAGCAGCGATAACCTATCTGACAAGATACCTGGAGGTTTGTATTGCTTGGGGATGCAACAATCTGGTATAGTTTAATGCTTCCAAAAAAACATCCGGTTTGGATGGGTGGCCGTTCATTTCGGCTGGTCGGAGTCCAGGTCACCGAGGACTTGATCTGGGCTGTCCGACTGATCGATGACTCTCCTCTAACTAACAGTCTCGGGATCCTTTCGCACTGCCGGGCCCTCGGCAATCTAGCTCTCTTGTACCGATACGCCAACGGGCTTTGCTCTTCAGAGCTCTCCTCCATAATGCCTGCCAGACAGACCTGCGTTCGGCCTCCCATCCTCGCCGTGTCGAACTTCGTAGGGGGACCGGGGCTGGTTGTCACACGGGTTGGTTGTCACAATTGTTAAATCTCAGCAGCTCCGCAAGATGTAGTTGCCTGGCCCGCTACACATCGTTTCTGCGTCCGCGCCGAACACTTGTATTCAGTACGAAAGTTGTCGTTGGTAGATTAAGGTCGCACGCACAAAAATAAACAAATCACCTAACCTGAGTAAATTTTACAAATTTATACAATGTATTTTTTTAATATTTTCAGGTTACATAAGCATGGTTCGAAGATTCAAAAGGAAGACTGAGAAGGGCAAAGCGCCGCCTGACGTACTTTTCAGAGCAGCTAGGTTAGTGAGATTAGGATCCTCAATAAGAAAAGCGGCAGCTGACTTCAATGTAAATTACCGTACCTGAGCAAGATACTGTAAGAAAATTCTAGAGTCTGAATTACTTGATGATCGAGTTGTTGCGCCGTCAATTTCAGTTGGCTACATCAAAAATCATTTAGTATTTGAGCCTGAACTTGAAAATCATCTAGTGGAATATGTACTCAAAGCATCTGATATTTATTTTGGATTATCACCCAAGGAAGTACATGCATATGAATTTTCTAATGCTAATTCCTTGAAAATGCCGGAAAATTGGAAGCTCCATAAAATTGTTGCCAGAAGAGGATTCAAACAGGTTGGTTCGATAGTTTCATCAGAAAGAGGAACTCTTGTTACTTTAGCAAGTACAGCATCAGCTATTGAAAATTCCATTCCTTTTTTCATTTTTCCACGGGTACATTTCAAACCACATTTTTTAAATTCGGCTCCTCCTGGCTCACAAGGTTCAGCAAACCCGTCAGGTTGGATGAAAGAGTCACATTTCTTGGAGCTTCTTAGATTTTTTGTCGGGTGTGTTTCCTTACATCAGAGATATTTTCACGATGATGACTTTCTTGCGAGCTCTGTCACTGATAGGCCAGATCCGGGTACCTTGAACGAAGCAATAACTGGACCAAACCCGGAAACCTTAAACGAAAAGGAAGTTGGGCCAAATCCAACTATCTTAAACGAAGCCGAAACTGTAAGTTGGATAAATATTAATACGCAGTAAGCAATAGATAATATACGAGAGGGAAAAACAGCTAATCAAACTAGTTTTGATGATCCTTGCTGTAGTAGTTTAGTAAGGCTGCATGCGGGAAATATAGTATTTCCAGAAAGTTTAAGGCCTTATCCAAAGGCATCGGCAAGAAAGATGAATCGAGTTTCCCGTCGTAAACGAGGAACTGCAATACTCACTGACACTCCAGTAAAAGACGAATTAGAGAAAGAGAAAAATAAATGCTCGAACAAGAAAAAAAGAAACAGGGAAACAGTGAAAAGGGACGTTTTTGATTCAAAAACAAATTAACAAATCTAAAAAAATTGAAAAACGCAAGTCCTGTTCAGATAATGAAACTGATGTAGAAGAATGTTTTTGCTTGATTTGTCTTGAACCATTTTCTAACAGAGCGTCAAATGAAGAATGGGTGAAATGCTCATCGTGTAATGGTTGCTCTCATGACGCGTGCACTGATTGACGCGAACTTTACATATGTCATAACTACGATAGTGACTAATTGTAAAAAAAACTCTTCTACTTTTTTCTCATAAAGATTTATATATATATTAAAGTATGATAGCATAAATTATTAATGATCTAAAATACACGTGACAACCAACCCCAAGCTATGTGACATCCAGCCCCAGCAAGGGGCAAGTTGTCACATTTGTTTCTGTATTTTGAAACATTTTAATTTAATATTGTGAATTATTTTACAGCCTTATCGATTTTACATAGTGTTCCTAAAGGATAAACCATATCAGTTATGCACCAAATATGTGCATATAACGCTTCAGATCGAATAAAAAAAAGAATTACTGAAAACTGTGACAACTAGCCCCGGTCTACTCTACATCCGGAACCTTTGTCCCTAGGGAATCGATATTGTGGAACAGATTAAAAGTCGGATTAACAAAGCTCCTTTGAGCTCCTCATAGCAACCGCGCTGCCCGGTATTTAGGCTTTTGCCTGCGTGGCTATAAAAATATCCTTTTACCTTTGCGTCGGCTCTTCACCGAACCTCTGATCTCTGATCCAAAAATAGAGACTTTAAATTGCTAAATCGTAAGTTTACGTTTGGTAACAGAGACGTTTCTCTCACTTCAAGTATCTCAACCGGCAATCATCTAACCGATTACGTAGATGCGTGTTTATAGAATACAATAACACGCCCATAACAAGCTTTTACAGCCTACCAAATAAGTCTCCTAATTCTTTCCACTAACCAAAATAAAGAATGTTTTTATCTGACCCGAAGTGTTCACCAAAACGGATGGGAGAATAAAACTGGTGAAAAACGGTTTTTACGGCGTCTCATAGCTTGTCCGCCAATGTATCGCGGCATCTTTATGATGGAATGTCAGTCTTGATGACACCGATTGTAGATACGACCATGAAAAAAGCTTTGGTCGTCACCTAGATAAGTTGTTTCTTCTCAGGTTGAGATGGAATCAGAAAGAAAGATCGTCACGCGTGATACCTCGAGTCTGTCTTCAAGCCCAGTCGATTTCACAGAAACTCGTCGAGGTTTGGACTTCTACAGTTGTTCTCATTGACATGTCTTGAGGTTTCTTCATATATTAAAGAAATTAATAGCAATGGCGTACTCAAGTGGAGGGGGCTTAGGTGCTTATGCTCCATCGAGCTCCACAGCCTAAAGCATCTTTCCTTTGAAGCAATAGTATTTTTCTTAATACACTAATGAAAAAAAAAACACCCAGTAATAATGAATTTATTACAATTTTTACTTTCCACGCCTACTGGCGGAGAACTATTGTAATCGCGAAAATTTTATTATATTATGTTTTTTTAATCTTATATGACATGTACATCACACGAAGAACCATGTCACTCATTTCCGTCGGTCTGTTGGTCTATCGGCCTGTCTGCTAGTTTTATAAGTAGTACCATATCGGATTTCGATGAAATTTTCACACAATGTCACCACTACGCGAAGGACGCAAAGACTTTGTAGTTTTTGAAAATCGGACCCGTGGCGGCGGAGAAAAAGGCCAAAACAAAAAAAAATTGCTCAAACTTTATCTTTTGATATTTCAGACCATCCTGGTCATTGTCGGAAAAAAAATTTGTAGCGGTTAAGACTTGGAGGTTAGGTGTTGAAGGGAGTGGGGGAGGGTGTATCTCAATTTTCTGACGTTGTTATATCTATGCCCCCAATAGCACGAAATATTCATTAAATGTTTATTCAATATTTAATAATATGTTTATCTTACTTAAATATTTGTTATCTTAGGCCCGTATCATCAGTCGTTCCTAGTATTGCCTCCTTGATTTTCATAGTTTTTTACTTTTCCGTGTCAGCGCTCTATTTTGAGGTTATATTACAAATAACTATTTGCATTAAATTGTTCATGCTTTTGATTTATATCATGTTTTATCAGCCTAAAATTTCCTACAATTCAAAAAGAAAACATAACTTTGCAATAGGAGAGCGCTGACGCTGACACAGAACAGGTGCAATCTAGAAGTTTTTGAAAGAGAGAAAGGACTATGACAATCAAAGAGGCCATAAAGGCGTTCTACAATTGTAGGAATGACTGACGATACGGCCATTAAACAAATATTTAATAAATATTTGGATTATAATATTTATTGTTATGAATTCACCTCCTCTTGTAACTCATTAAACATATATCAGCGGAAAGAAACGTGCGCCCATGTACGAACAGCAAATTTCGAATTTGACTTCATCAGAATCGATCATGAATTGTTCGGCCTACGGTAGGTGTGCAAACAGACCTGCTCCGACCCGCTTGACGACGTCCATTTTGCCTGTGTGGTCGACTAAGGTAGCGTCCTTCCTGTGTACCTCCAGGTGGTACATTATTTGAGTATATTTTTGTGGAACAGGGTAAGTTTTGCGATAATTACATAGCTTAATTTATCTGACTACATATTACATATTATTGTGCCAGTTGAGTATAAAAGGTATTTACAAGACCATAAATAACTAGCCTTGAAGTATGACAGTTATTTGTGATTTGGGATTGGTGGATATATCTGAAAATGAATACGATAATTTTATTTATAACACCTCAATGAACAGTCACATAATCACAACTTACATCAAAAATGCTTTTTTTAAATAACTCAATTATCCTTTAATAAGATCGACAAGAATCGCACACATATACATATGTATGCATACCAAATCTACACTGTTATTGAGAGCAGAATTATATAGTACAAAACAAACTCAGTGAAGCAGATACCCTATTTATGATTTTCTTTTTAATTTAGCACTAACCTCTTGGCAAATACGGTTGGTATTGATCGATGACTAATCTTGTTTAGTAGACGATAACCAACAAAAATGTTTCACAATCCACACACACACACAAAATTTTTCAGCCTCCGTAAGAAGCGTGACCATCAAACTTCAACAGATTATTCTGCTCTCCATCCAATGGGTAACAACCCTGGATCAGGTCTTTCTAAAGGGAACAGAACAAAACATTTGATATAATGTACTATTTATGAATGTTTTTATCTTTATCACTACCCCTACCTGTAGCAATAACATAATAGCACTTACTACTGGCGATTAATCAAACAATCACAAATCACTCTATCTAAATAGACACTTATAATATGAATCAATGATCATAATACTCGCTTCCATGATACTATCTGAATTTCGCTTCTGTGTTCTGTGTTGTGAGAGAAAAACGTTATATCATTTCAGATTTATCACAAAGCAATAACATCGCACGAATAAAGAAACAGCTGATTAGGATTACGGACAAATTTACAATGAATTTGACTGAAGTTAAAAAACTCGAGTTGGATTTTATCAGGATTATGTATTATTTTGAAATAGATCTTACATTTTCTATAATACTTCCGACTTCTGGCATCGTCGCTCTACTCGCTCTTCCTGTATTTGACATTTACTTGCAGTGTTGTCGTGTTGTCGACTGAGATACCATAATCAAATTCAAGCGGATAACCAAATGGAAATGGTATTTACCATTTTGGATTGGTATTTACCGATCCGTTCAAGCGAGTGTGGTTATCAGTTTGGTTATAAGATCCGTGACGTCATGTATCAGCTGTTATATGTCATAGTTATCACCGCAAAATTGTGGTATTTACCCAACTTGGGAGTAGTTTTATATTTCTGGTTATTATTTGACATGTGACAAGTTAGAATTTTGCCGGGTATTGGATATTTTTATTGTACTTCAGCTTCATTTTTGGGAAACTTGATACAGGCTGACTTCAGTTTTAGCATAAGAGAGCACCTTATTATTTATAATCACTACTGTTGTTGGGTACACTTTAAATCGAGTTCCTACGATTAACAAAGTATCCTGTATAGCCATATACCACAAGAATATTAAAATATGGCCGTATAAACTCACTGGATGATGTCCACCTGTATACGGTTTTGTTAATATCTTTTTTCATCGCTTTTCCATCATTTCTGCTAAATCAATAAATATTTTCTTTGACATGAAAGTTATCATAGCTACAAAGCCATGGTTCCATCAGTAAAATTTTTTTTCTGAACAAAAAAACATTCCTCCCATTAATATTATGAAAGTTTTCTTTTTTTCATCTTTCCATACCCCGTTGTGGACGAAAAAGTACCGATTATTAAGTGATAATAAAAATAATCAGAAATTATATACGCGCTTTTCTAAAATAAACAACTTGCACCAAACCGCGATTAAAACCAACGCGTTCAAGCGATTCGAGTAACTGACATCATCATCCCGTTTGTCATCTTGAACCATATTATAACCGCGGTACATAAAACGGAAATTTTGGTTATCCGCTTGGATTTGATTCATGACAGTTTCCATAGACAGACCATCTAATACGGGTCCCACACGATGCTTCCAACGTTGTATACAACGTTTTTTACAACGTTCGGCACCCCACAATTGGCAAGTGAGTCTCCTACACGATTGGATGAACTTTTTAGTCTCGGACGTTCGACGCATGACGTCTATTATCGGTGACAGTGTCGCGCTTGAACCTTTACAACTGAAGGAAAAATTATACAAAATGAACGATGAAACAATTTTTTCGAGCGCCGAAAAATAATTTCAGATCTGTCTTCAGCGACCAAAACTTAAGTCTGTCAGAAACCTCAGAAATGTCGAAAAACGAAGTTTGACCGTTTTTTGCTTGTTTTTTGATGATAACTCTGTCGCCACTGTACCGACTTTCAAAAACTGCAGAGCTTTTTCGTCATTTTCATAGTAATAACCTAGGACCAATGTAATTCTGGCGTTATCTTGTTGGAAAAGTGGGTTGGTGAACTTCCGTATATAAGCCAAAACATTGAGAATCTCGTCTCCCATCTCGGCGCCTTTTCACCCTTGTACCGGAATCTGGATTCATCATTAAAGACAATCGTATTCCGTTGGAGGTCGCACTTTAGCCGTTCTCTGCATCTCTGCCTAGGAGAGATAGAGGTAGGCCAAACTGAGGATGGTATGTACGAGTAGTAAGTCCAAAACTGTTGATCGGGCGACAAGCAATTCACATACACACAAGCCTACCATTCGACCCCTATAAAACTCGTTGTGGCTGTTGAAAATTTTCTTGTCTTCTCACTTTAGGCATAATAAACAGATTAGTAGTATCTATGAAATCCTTTTTTGGGCATCAGAATATAGTATATAATTATGTTAGTTAGCTGACTTCAGGTCTTTACGAAAAAATGAAGTGGCTAAGATTATTGTTAGCTATGTTAAAAGAAACATGAATCACATCCAAACGACAAAATATTATGTCTAGGGCGCACCATTCTGATATACAATAATAACGTCCAAAACCAAAACAACTGTAGCCGCCTATAGGTTTAGAAAAACTCGTTCAATCACGAACACGTCGCGTTGTTGGCCAACACGTGAGGCCTTCTTCCACATAAAGCAACTAATGTTTTGTTTTGTTTTGCTCCGGCTACAGCTACCTACTCGTTTTTATAGTGAGCGCCATAACGATTACAATTTTTTATGTTTTCTCTACCGGTTAGTTAGCAAACCCGCTAATTTTCGTACAATTTATGTTCTTGTTTGAGGTATGGCAATTACCGCCGCCACTGGTTCTCTCTACTGGGTGCTCGTTGGCATTTTTGGAGGTATAGCGACAGTGGCGGAGCCTTTTAATACGAAGAGGTAGAAATGGTCTCAAAACTCAAGCGAAATATGAATAGGAAACCTAATAGACGGTCTGCGCCATGCAGTGCCCTCAAACTCGTTCAGTTACGCGCTGCCACAATACATCCGCTCATCTCTGACTAGCCGTAATTAAACCTCTCAGCTACAGCTCGTGCGAATGCCATGAGTTTACAGCAGAAAACACCATAAGCTACGAATTTTAGACTAGCGCAACTGTTCGCCATGCATCCACCACGGAAGTGCATGGATTCATGCCAAAGGTATTTGTCTCATCCCGTTTCCTCCCTTCATACATACACATTATGTATGTGCATACCCAGCAGAAAGGGAAACATATAGTTGGTTTCCCCTCTGTGTTTTTCTTATCACATAAATTGCTCAACATTATTCGCTTCACTATTGGTTGAATTTCAACCTATTTGCCCTCGCCTAAATGCGTAAGGTTGTCAGCTGTAAGCCTTTCGCCAAGCCTCACTACCATCTCTGGTACTCAACACTACTGTATTCAAGTCGATACTCTCCTGGAAAAGCAATACGTGTAGTTTTCCTATCCGCCTTATGTAGCCTCCAAAGCATCTATGTCCCGTGAGGAACTGTGCAGTATAGAAATCTATATGCACAGTTTCACAGCGATCAGTTTCTAGAACTGACGCGTCCAGAAAGGAAACTTTGCATGAATGGAGACTGCTAATTTTCTAGAGTAAATTAATTCTCTTATCCATTCAATTCTAGTGTAAAATTATATTACCATTATTCGCAATTGAATGAGAATATTATTTACCGCTCAATCTGTTGTAGATTATTTACAAAGTTATGAGACTTCTCTTCATGAAGCTATTTATATAATCTACATCCGTTTAACTACCGACAATAATAAAATCGTATTTGCAAGTCTCCATGCACTTATGAACTTCTCCGAAAACGTAAATCTGTATTTTGAAGCAGTCACATGTCACAGGCGTAATTTATATCTCAGTGGGTTGTGACTGCAGCACAATGTTCCTCATTTGTAAGTGCAGTTGTTAAAAGGACTGGCAAGTAGGTCAATTGTTTTATTTCGGGAATTGAAGTCATGTTTTCGAGCTGGTTACTCTTCCTTCATTCCTGAAATATCTCGCTGTTTATATGGTGAAACTAATTATAGGCGATGTGTGAAATGATAATTGCTGAAGGCCACAAAGTAGATACGCGTAGATTTGAACCATCAATGGAGCGGCATGTTAAAGGAAATTTGGAAAAGGAATCTAAGTAATCTTTCCTATAACTGCCTAGCTGTTCAGATAGAAGATACAATACAAAGTTGGGTGGAACTAATGATGGTAGTAATCTGTATCTTCATATCCAAAACTAGAGTACTTCAATATCTTAAAAAAATTGTGAAAGACCAACAAATACAGTAATTTTCTATTGTATGCGATGTTCATCGCCGCCCTTATTACACTACAAAATGAGAGGGATAGTTATTAGCACAAGCATATGCCCCCCTGACTGCCGCTTGAGAGGTAAACCATCCCTCATAGAGTATCCGTTTCTTGGAAAACGAGTGGCGTGTGTTTTTTACTCTTCAAAACAGTCCTCTACAGAAGTCAACTTGCCCCCACCGCTTCAAGCAGCTAGCAACCCTGCTTTAAACTGGCTGAATGGGTCTGTAAACCTAACCTGACCCCCTTTGAATTTTGCTATATGGACACACATGGTTGTAAGTTGCATACTTTAGGTCCTTAGGTAGATAAGTAACAAGTACGGCGATCAGACCGCATGGGTGTTTGCAGGAATCTTTCTCAGGGCAATTAACCTCCCCCCCTCCCCCTCTGCGGGCGCCCATGTATCATGTCGATTATTTTGCCTAATACAGGTGAAACAAAAACAAGAATTTCAACTCTACATCAAAGGACTGAAACACCAAAATCACTAAAATTAGTTAGAGAAACTACGAGGGTGGTCGGATTTAATTACTAGTTATTTAATGCACCAGCAAAAATAGAATTCCCTCTGCACTATGAATTAAAAGAAAAAAATCTGTAAAGCACGCAAGACGATTCAAGAGTAAATACTTGGGTATAGTCTATAGGATAGTTTTTGGTAAAATTGGGGTTATCTTTCACACCAAAAGCGAGCTGTGTGAAAATGTTTATTATTTACACATAGCGGTTTCATTACACCGTCTCTGGCCATTTATCACATTCTACACGGCATGGCTCTCTGTCTTGACACATATCTTCATCTAGATTCCTTCTCCTCATGGCGATCTTGTCCCCGTCTTTCTATTCCTTTCGTGGTTTCCCCTTTTTTCTTCTGCTTCGTGGTACCCAATTAAATATGGCTTTGGGTGATCTATTGAGAGTCTTCTCAATATCCGTTTTATTCTTCATGTCTTTCTTAGGGATTCGCTCCTCAGTAGAGTCAACCCCCAACTTATTCTCGAAAAGCCCATTTCGGTTGAATTTATTTCCCTTCTCACATCTTCATTTAGCGTCCATATCTCTGCCCCGTATGTTACACAACTTTCTACCAGCGATTTAAACAGTCCTATTTTGTTTCTTTTGATACCTGTGTCCCCCACAAGATAGTACTTGAATCGGAAATACGCAAAAACGTCCGATGCCATTAGAATCCTAGAAGAAAATAAGGCAAGAACCAGATCCAAAGAAATAAAAAATTGTTGCTTCATTAATTGCACTTTTAATAAACTCAAATTCTACCAAAGGCATTTGGTATTTGATGACCCTGGATCAAATTAAGTTTTTAGGGATTTGGGCATAGTCTCCAGCTTTCCTCACACATATAAAGAATGTAGAACAACCTACCCGAAGAGTGTGCCTGGAAACCTGTTCATCTAACTCATTATATAATTTGTATCAAGATCTCTTTTTTGAATAGTTCCATGCAGGACAGGAATAAAATTTTGGATTCTGACTTCGTTACCGCTTCGGTGTATTCTTTCTTCCTTTTCTTAAGCAGTCCATTTCTTCTTCAGTTCTTCACGAGCTCCGTCAAGGCCGAATCGACAACACCGAAATGCAGGTTCTTCGACAACGTGTTCCATCCTTCTTCAACCCACTGCTTCGAGGTCATCTGACCTGTTGCTGTCTCTGTCTGCCGCGGCTAAGAGAGTTTTGTGAACGGGCCTCAGGCCCCCACAATATTTCTATTTACTTTATCGCTCGAAAATGGGCTGAACACACCTACTCGTGTGTAGAAGGCAATCTGAGCTGGTTTTCGGTTTATGGGTACACTTGTGAAGTGCTACTCAGATGAAGCAATAAGAACACCATATTTTCTGTTAATATTACTTTAACTTTGTTTTAGTATACAGTTAACCGATGTCTTCTTTTTGTATAGTATAACGTACTCGTATTTGTCCCGAAATAAGTTATAAGGCGAACGACAGCTTTACGTCATGTAAGGTCGTGGATTTTGTTATGTTACATTATCATGAAAACCAAAATTACTATTGACTTTTTCAAAATTTGGACTGCACTGAATCTTTTTAGCGAGATTCAGAAACCTTCGTCAAACAACAAACTAAAAACCCTATATCTGTAATAAAATGTGAGACTAGAAATGCGTGTCTTCCAAAATAAAATTCGAACTAGTTTAAAATGCATTTATTCAAACTAGTAATATAACCTTTGTTCGTTCGACTATAGACGGCCAACCATGGACAGCTGTTTTGTGCTATTTGGCAACTCATCAGCATATTGTAGGTGCTGAGCAACTCTACTCGGAGTATAAGGTCTATCGAAATAAAACAGCATAAAAGTGCTATTACCAGAGTCGGTCACTGCGAAGTGGAAATAGCAAGTTTTTTGTTGGAACTTCATGCTGAAGAGTTGCGAAGTAGCAGGAAACAGCTGTCCATGTTTGGCCGTCAGTGGTCGGACGAATAAAAGCTATATACTATACTGAGAAAAAAATAATGAACCAATTAAAAAATTTAAACAACTGCTATGAAACTAGTCTAATTAAAACAAAACGCTATCGTTTAATTAAGGTTACTGAACCGTTTACTTAGAATGAGTACACCGATTAATTTAAAATTAATGAACTATCAAAATGAGTTTAACTTCTCTAAGTAAAACTATTTAATTATATTTATTAAACTTGTTTAATTAGCTTAGGTAAAAGAAGGGGTGAAGAGCTCATGGAGTTCCTAGGGTCATCGAGCCTTGAGATTCTGAATGTTGGTAACACGCCTACTTTCAGCAACATTGTCAGAGAAGAGGTTATCGATGTAACACTGGGTAAACTTAAGTTAGGTCAGAAGATTAGGGACTGGAAAGTTTTTCTAACACCCTCTGTATCGGATAACAGGTATATGCTGTTTAAGACTGATGAAGAGATTCCAAGTAAATACGCTCAGAATCCTAGGCATACTTTTTGGGCGTCCTTTAGGGCAGATCTTGATAGTAAGCTTGGCGGGTCAGCCTTTGTAGGGGCTCTGGTTCGCGACCTTCTGGTCCAAGGAGCTAGATGAGCTGTGAACAAACTTCTTGGTAGAGTTAGGCACAGGAGATGCTCTCCCTAATGGGAAGCATACAAAAAGGCGTTGCAGGAATAGAAAAAAGAGATTAGAAGGGCATAAAAAGAATCCTGGAGAAATTTCTGTCAATCCATTAATGACATTCCTGCTACAGCTAGTATATATAGAATCCTATGCAAAGATACCAAAGCAAGTTTGGGATCTCTGCCTGATCCCTTGGGAGGTAATACTAATTCCGAGGAAGGTACTCTAGGGCTTCTGATGGATATGCACCTTCCGGCAGGGGTATTATGTAAAAAAACCTAAAAAAACTAAAAAAAAAAAGACAAAATGGCATCTTTCAGACTAGGTGGTTTTTAGTGTGCAAATATTTCGTACCACATTTACTCGCTCTGACCGCTGTTCGCTGAAAATTTAAGCAACACGTACAGCTACAAGCTTGGGATCTCTGCCTGATCCCTTGGGAGGTAATACTAATTCCGAGGAAGGTACTCTAGGGCTTCTGATGGATATGCACCTTCCGGCAGGGGTATTATGTAAAAAAACCTAAAAAAACTAAAAAAAATAGACAAAATGGCATCTTTCAGACTAGGTGGTTTTTAGTGTGCAAATATTTCGTACTACATTTACTCGCTATGACCGTTGTTTGCTGAAAATTTAAGCAACACGTACAGCTACAAAAAGAGTTCACAATAGGTCTACAACAGCTTGTGCTAAGTTAACATCTTGTAGAAAGACTTAATATGTCACAAAAAACCTACGAAATATAAAAAACGACGAAATATCATTTTTCAAGATACGTAATACCCGTTCAATTGTTCCTTACCTGTTGAACGTGTTTCGAGCATGTGTGGCCACGGGCTTGACACCTAGAAGTTGGCGGCAGGCTAAACTGGTATTTATTCCAAAACCGTGCAGAGCTATACTGGCCTGAAGGATTTTCGTCCGACTACCCTGTCATCTTTTGTGCTTAACACATTAGAAAGGATAGTTGACAGATTTTTGAGGAATGGCCAGCTGGAGAGGTGTGTCATTCATTCCAATCAGTTTGCATACCAAGCTGAGAAATCGACTGATCTGGCCTTACATAATCTGGTGGGTAGGCTGGAGAAGACTCTAGACCAGCGAGAAATTTAATTGCACTACAACCGACTTTCAGACATGCCTTGGTTAGGCACGGGGTTGGATCAATCTTAGTAAATTGGGTCCTACCCACCCTGGAGGGTCGGGTAGCAACAGCTATGCTGAATGACGTATGCTGGAGCGTGAATGTAGCTCGGGGCTGTCCGCAGGGCGGAGTTCTGTCACCCCTACTGTGGTACATTGTGGTGAACGAGCTCCTCGTTAGGCTCAGCAGTGCGAGTGTTTATGTGCAAGCGTATAGTTATATAGCGAGAGCCCCTCGTATATCTTCCTAATAGCTATAATTATATCTTATCTTAGTAAACAACCCTATGTTATATATTGATGGTTGTGCCCTTCAGGCATCAGTTTTATCCTATTACTCTTGCATTGAACTCACTTAGGTTAGGTTTGCTAACATATCGTTGTTAGTCTAAACATTATATTTATAGTAGAATAAAGTATCAAATCGCTTGTAAGTCGTTTTTAAAAACACGATTCCGCGACGCGATACCATCATTGGCGCAGCTAGCAGTAGGATCAGAAGACTGGAACAGAACTCAGCAGAGGACTTCCAGGCTGATTTCAATCACTAACTTCTGGAACCGACGAGACCAGGAAGACCAGGAGAAGCCCAAGGACGAAGATCGACGCCAGAGTGCTGTGTCTTCAAAGTCTGAAGGTAATTCAAGTCGAATTTTCCTTGTCTCTCCTCTCACCTTCTTTTTTAATTTAAGATTTTTGGTGCAGTTTTGTAAAATTTAGATTTTGCTGAAGATTGCTCAAAACATTAGTATTAAGTTAGTTCTCGTTCAAGAGCTACATTTTTGAAGAGAACTTAATTTTAGTAAATTTGTCGAGAGCTACATTTTCGATTTAGATTAGTTACTATTTTTTTTAAATTTCTGCCGGTTGCAAAATTATTAATATTAAGGAAATTTTCACATTAAAATAAGGCTTAGGTAGAATCTCATTAAATTTTATTACATTCGTATTCACTTGGTATTTTCACATTTTTCATACTTTTACATTTTTAATTTTTACACATTTTACATTTTTATAGACCATAACTTTATGCAAGATTCTAATTCGGCTCTAGATACTATTACAAACTTATTAGAAAACATGTCTCTTAATAACAGTACAATCACCGTTCCAAGCATACACGCCGCAAAAGCTATTGCAGATTTTCTGCCATATTTCGATGGTGATACCCAACA